CCTAATGCTATCCCATCCTTATCTTGGACACACTGTATAATCATTTTCAAACAACGTTAATTTTGATGTGTCTTGTCAAATTTTAGTCGCCTTCAGACAAATTTGATTCCGTTTCTAAAAACCAATCTGTAAAACACCTACAAAATTGCAATTGTTGGACAATATGTTTGACAAATCATTTAAAACTTCGAATATACATATTCATGTTATTTAAATTGGAGCATAAATATACCTGTTTGTAAAAAAATCAAAGCTATATGAACTTCGCCTTCTTCATTTTGTGACACAAGTGGTAAAAAATTGTTTAATAATATTCTAGGTGCATATGTATTTTGTAAAACACCTACATTATAAATAAAATGTTGAAATCAATGAAGTTTCAGTTTACATAATTAGCAAAGTATACAAATCTTTAGAAACTTAAAAATACAGGTTGTATTTAAATGAAGGGGCATAAATGATAACAGAGATTCGTTAGGTGATGAAAATAAGTTGATTTAACCTAACATACCTGTATCCCAAGTCGCATAATAAAAGAGATACAGGGTGTCAAAGTGAAAAATGGTTTTTCCTTAATAATTTCTAAAGTTTTAGTCAGACATGTTTCAAATTTTCAAGCGAGGGATTTTTTCAGTGTGGCAAAAATAATATAATAATCGTTAGTAGCATACGGAATCCGTATGTTGCCAGAATGATGGGGAAAAAGTAGTGGCTAGCGACGGACAATACTTTGAAAAATAATACTGGTGAAGTATTTTGTATTTTGTATGTTAATATATTTTATATAATCTAAGTTGTATAGAGACGGTTGCAGAGCAACAAAAACAAAAAAAGTTGTTATTGAAAAATCAAATAAAATGATGACATATTCTAAATTCTATTAATCTAATTGTGTAGTTGTACCATATTCAGGAAATAAAGAAAATTAATCACATCAGCACAAGAGTTTATACAGTCCACTCTATCGAATAACAAATACTGTTCACAATTTTTCACAATAAAACCTTGAATTTACAAAAATATCCCTCAAAATTAACTCGCAGTCCTAGTAAATAAACATTTCTCTTTGAGCAGGGCAAAGATTTCTCTTAAACAAACAAACTTGACCTGTCAATATTAAAACAAATGAATGAAATCGATCTGATTCGTAGTCGCTAATTAATTATCTACACCAGCTACACCTACCGCATACCAAATACCCGTATTAAACGTGTTATGCGAATATTTTATTAGCGAGAAAAAATTAGTAAAGCATTCGGACCGACGCCTTGTTAAGATTTTAGACGTTATTCGACAGGCGCCTTGGTTCGGTATAAACACAACGAAAATTTATGATTTAATCCTGACGAATAAGGACGTCGTATCGCAATTAGTTAGTCAGATTAATTTTTAATTATAGAACACACGTTTGGGCTGCCAAACGTGGTAGAGGAATGTCGAACAAAAAAATGCATGGCAAAGTTTTTTACTGCATTCCCCAGATTTCCGTTGTTTGAGGAAAACACTTTGTTTATAGTGCTAGATCTGAAAAGATATTTCTTGCAAAAATCTGTTTCTTTTTGCACAAGTTTAAAAAAGCCGGTTCATTTAATTCTATGACCAAAATGCATTTATATGACTTATAACGGGTAATTCTATAACTTGAAACTTTCAAATATCCCTAAAAATAAGCACATAATCAAAATTTAACCATTCCACGAAGGAAATACATTAGTGCTAAAATTTAATCCTCCCTCCTTGTAGATGAGGTGGGGGGTAACTTTGAAATCTGAAGTAGAAAACACTATTTTTTTATTGCAGATTCGGATTCTATGGCTAATAGACCAAGAAATAAAGGGAAAAATCATCCGAGAAATCGTGAAAATTACTGGGCGTGATTTTATTGTTGGAAAGTCTTGGGAATGATAGTACAAGAGGCGTCTCATCAAATGGGCCATGAAAAAAGTATAGCGTCATTGTTTTTTATCAACAAAAAATCAATCAATCAGTCAAAAAATCGTAATATTTCGTTCTACGCGTTACTGTAAAAAAACTATTAATCTTAGCAAAAAATGTTCAACAGACGATTTGATCTAGAGAAACTCATCTTTAAAATGAGACTTTATAAGTTAAAATTGCTTTATAAACAAAAAAAATATTGCAAAATTAAACGGGAAAAGTGCTTTTTCTTTTATTGTTAATAACTTTTTAAATAATTAATAAAATCTTACCAAACTTTCCCAAAATGTGAGTTTTTATATCCTTAAGAGATGTGCAAAATATGGGCGCGATCGGTCAAATAGTTTTTGCAAAATTCCATTTATTTATCCCATTTTTGCAAAAAAGGCCCATATTTAAATGACTATTCAGGGGGCAGGGTTATGACTAAAACATTCTTTTTGGGCTCATTTTCTTCGAAGGGACACCAAGCATCCTTTAGTTAAAATAAAAAATATTTTTATTTTCAAATTTAATTGTACGAGATAATTGTTACCAAATAAAAGGCACTTTTTTCCCTAATAAACAAATAAAATAACTCCGCGGTTTTTAACTTTTGAAAGAAGTTATATACACTATTCGAAAGCTCGTAAAAAAACCTTCAAATTGAAAGAAAAAAAGTTTCTACGACCAATTGGTCCGGAGCAATTTTTTTTTAAACAGAACAATTTGTTATAAACATTAAGACCTGAAATTATTACATTTTGTAAATTAAGGTTTAAACTTTATGCCCTGTTAATTTTAAGTGAATTTGCCCATAACTGATCAATCTAGAACCCGTCAAAGTAAGAGTACGCGGTAGTAGCCCTTCAGGGAGTGGTGGTGAGGGGATCTTCCGCTCAACCAGGAAAAAACTGACAATGTAAAATTTGTAATATATCTGCTTCTATGTAACGTAGAACCTTTTTTTTAATTTGGGGTAGCTCGACGAAAAAATTACTTCTCCCCCTAAAAATGATTTTTTTGAAAACATTTTTTTTTGCATTTTCAGGGTTCATAGTTCAAAAGTAATAAAGAATTCCTTGACTTCTCCAGGTTTTCCCTGACTTATAAAAAAAATCCAGGTCACTTGTAGTTCATTTTTACATACTAATTGGTGTTTATGCATTAAATTTTTTCTCGACTGGACTCCATAATCTTTTTTATACCCAACAACCTCTTATAAAGGTTTCAAAACCTTTTTCTCTTTCAAGAATCCAGGGCCGGCTTTCACAAAATTTCCAGTTGCAAACATCAAATTCCCTGACTCATGAATTTTTAAAATTCCCTGACTATTCCCTGTTTTTTATGAAGAATAACAAATTCCCTGACTTTTCCCGGTATTCCCGGTTTTCCCGGCCGCTACGAACCCTGATTTTTTTTATTTGAAACGTTTTAGACAATAGTTCTCAATAAAAAAATGTTAAAATTATTCTCAGTAGGAGAAAAAAAAATAATTTCTGTGATCGAATCTATCATGATTCGAAAAAAAAATGTTTCAGACAATCCTACGTATTTAAGACTTGTCACTCCCCATTCCACCTTCAGGAGAGCGGAGGGGACTAATTTTACCACTAATATATTCCCTCCATCAAGTGTTTACATTTTGATTATGAAAATTTTTTTCGTAAAGTGATTATTTCTGGAGATATTTGAAAGTTTCAGGTTTAAAAAATCACCCGGCATATCTCATTACACCATTACAATGACCTAATCAACTGCTTTGTCTTATTATTTTTATGACCTCTTGCATCAAGTCTTGGCAAAATTTGTGTAAACAAACGGATGATTTTTATAATTTTTTTTTCAAACATTAACAAATAACATATTCTATCTATTATTAGCTTTCATGTTTTACTCTATTTCAATGTTTCAATGATATCATAATTTTTTTTTCAGTTTGTTCGTTTTGAGATGTAGTTTTATAAAAAAATATAAAAATAATACATTCTTATTGTTTTGAGGTGTTGTTTGATTTTTAAACTAAAAAAGTGCTTTTTGAAAGAGTTGCGTTTTTTTTGTACTTTTAAAAACATGGTATTTTTAATAATTAGTCACAGCGACTTACAAATTTGGTTTAATAGCGTGCATTATCTGCAAATAAAATATATACCAAAAATTTTTTTTGAAGAAAAAAACTTTCAAAAAGCACTTGTTTTGTTTAAAAATAAAACACGCGCGATAAAACTAAAAATGTACTATTTTTATATTTTTTTTTTTTGTAAAGCTACATCTGAAAACGAACAAAATGAAAAAAAAGTTTAAGGTGGCCATATCCCTGGCCGAGAAATGGTGAAATTTCTGGCATTTTTAGGTACTGAAATCTTGAACAGTAAAACGTGTAGAACAAAAGTAAGCACAAAAATAAAATCCTTGATGTTTTGTTTATTCATTGTTACCATTTAAATTTACCCAAATAAAATAATAACTACATTTTAAGAATTATTTTCAGGTACTTATAAATAAAACTTAACAATTTTATATGTAGGACTAAGCAAGTAAATGTTATAAGAATATTTACATGTGGCCTAAAACCTTGATGGTTTGATCGTTTTTTGCACCTGTTTATTCGTTTTACTGCGGCGTCTTTGAAAATACTCAGGTGGCATGACATAACATTCCTATTATTTGATAAGCTTTAGATTATTCTGTTATTAAATGGTTGAAATTATTTGTCTGCGGAAAACACTATTTAAAGAATATGGGGCCCTTAAGATATTTTCAGATTTTGCCAAGTTACAAGTATTTGAAATTTTTTACCCACAAAATTCAAATGTCCATAACTTCTCGAGGGGTTGATATAAAAATTTAAAAAAATTCATGAAAGCTAAATGGGTAGTAAGTAATAGCAAAAAAACAGAAAAATTATAAATGGCCCGGTCACGATCTCAGTGATTTGGCATGGAATGGCCCTTAATTGTTTTATCTATCTTTACTCGAGTATTTCTTCAAAAAATGCAACCTTATAAACCTGCTGCAAATTTGCGATGTGTTTATACCATGCCTTTTTAATTGCGTTAATCCTGGTTCTGCCTCACTTTTACCTGGTAGGTGCACAGAATTTCCTTCTCTATGATAGGCGAAGAGTTCCTGGGCATCATTTTGGACTACTAGTTTTCGATAAACGGAACCGAAAAAATTCTTCTCGCTACTACGGTATACTCGTATAACGCTAGATATACAGACAACCAGATATCTGTGGGTATTCTGCAATTCGATACGCATGCAACGTGTATCGAGTACAGAACAGCGCGCTTATTCGCGGTGTAAACAATATTCTTTTTGCGGCTAATGTTACACCTACAACAAAACAGAAACGTGTAAGATATTACATTTCTAACCTTGTGCTGGTTTTTTTAACGTAAAAACGGAGTGGAAATTTACGGGTGTTACACGGATGGATGCACAAATTCGTTTTTGATCGTTCGATATTTGCGTTTTGCTCGCGAATGTCAGAAGTCGAGAAAACAACACAATAAAAAAATCCAAGTATCAGCTGTTTATTCTATATCGGAGAAAATCGGAAATGGAGATATTTTCGGGAATTTTTAATATCTGCAGGGTGTTAAATGGGGGAAAATATTATTGAAATAGGTTTTAAAATAAAATATACCCACAAAAAGGCGGTTAAATTAATTAATTCATAATAAATTCATTCATTCACAGTTCACCCGTACATATTTACGCAGCATAATCATTCAGAAATTTCATTAATTATATACCTACTGTTTGCAATAAATACTGATGAAAATATTGTGGAAAGATGAACATTTTTAGAAAAAATACATTTAGTTGTAATTTTACATTTATACCACAAATATAAATGTAATTTTACAAGTTACCAATCAGTAAATACAAAAATTACAAACTATAAATAAAGTTTTCTGTAAATTTAATGTAATTTTCCTGTAATCCGTAGTAAAGACATCCATTTACCGGCTTCCTTGTATTAAAATAGTGGACAGATAATTGGTAAGTTTATTTTCATTATTATTGCTGTGACATTTTATTTATTATCGTTTTATACATATACATAATTTTACAATAAAATAAAATTTTTTGGTACTGTTTAATAAATTTGCCTCAAATGAGAAATTACATTGAGGTCAAATGTAATTTTACAAAATATTTTTACGCTTACAATATATTGTGATTTTTGCTTTATAATACAAATATAAATGTGATTTTACAATATGGTTAGAATTTGCAATGGCGTTTATTATAACATGTTTAATTTAATGTAAGTTTACATTTACATAGTTATTTAAGTTGTAAACGACCATATTAGACTTAAATTTAAAGCCTGTTAAGTGTTATTCAGAACTTATTCTGTATTTTAGATAAAGACAACTATTCACCGGATTATTAAGTTCAAATAAATACTTTAACTTCACTGTTAACGCTATTTTATTTACAACTATCCTTTTATTAGATATTGTAATTTTACAACAAAATTACATCTTTTTGGAACCTAATTTTTTTATAAATTTCCCTCACATACGAAGTTCTGTAAAATTACATTCAGATCGAATGTAATTTTACAGAAACTTAACAATTTAATTTTAATTTTACATTTCAAGCAATGTACTTTTATTATTGTAATTTTACCATCATTTTGCAGTGTAAATAAAAAAATACTAAATTAACAAATAGTAGTTTCTTTTTACGCATTATATAATACAGGATGTTATTTCATAACCCCTTGTTTATATGTTAATGAAACTCTACCCCAACCTGACAATTCATTTTTTTTATTTCAGTATGCGAAATCCACACCCAATCCGACCGAGGCTGCTGATTCAAGTTCGTGACGTCAATTCCCTTTTATAACAAAGAAATCGTCACTAGCGACTGCAATACCCGACAAAGAAAAACATGTACTACAAAGTGCACGTAACACACCGAAACTAGATCCGAATAGGAACTAAGTTCAAGTACTAATCTATCAAAAGCAAAGGTCAAACGGGTCCAATTACTTTTTCATGTCCGTAAGACATGTAACATGTTACACAGGCAACGCTAGATTTTAAAATCAATCGATTTACAATCTCTAGATGCCACCAGAACGTAAAATCTAAAATTCCGCAAGGATAAAAATTGCATTTCATGTAATATGTAGGTACCTCGAGTTCGGGAACATCCAGGGAATTGCCAATTTGTGCACGTAAATTTCGATTCCCTACATGTCGTTTTTTTACAAGTTGTAAGTTGCACTTTCATCATTCATCATGTCAAGTATACATAGAAGTAAAGTAGATTAGCCATCATTTTTATTCATCAGACTACTTTGATTGAAATATGAAATTATATTTTAAATAAAATGCTTGTAACTTCCATAAACAAAAACGAATCGGACCTATGTTCATATAAGAAAAAATGTTTCAAATTAACCCAGCTACCATCTGTCAAAGTTTATCATAGAGTTTGTAGAACACCCCGTATTTTGCATAACTCGATTTTTGGTATCAAAAATAATGTTTGATACCAGGTCATTGAAAATATTCCATTGTGTTGATCTACTTGAATTTAGGTGACCCAGTTAATATAAATTGAAAAGTCCTACGGATTTGACAATATATCCACTAAATTCACATCGTAATGTGAGACATCAATTAAAACAGAACCCATAATATTAACAGTAAGTTAAAATCTTGTCACATAGGTACTAAGTTCAATTAATTAAGGAATATTGACATACGTGCGTGCATAGAATACCATAAAATACAATGTACATACAAAAATTACTGAATTTTGCTTTTTGGTAAGTATCTAAATTATATTTAATACGTTTGATTATTTGGACGACGCACAGTGGGAAATATTGGACAAAATTCTCGCCACTCGCCAATTTTCATCGTCTCGTCGTGATTTTTTTTTATAATCTCGTGGTAATCTGAATTTTCATATTTCGGTGAGGTTTTTTCGAAAAAACCTTTTTTTTTAATGCTTAGGGAGCGCCCCAACCTCAATGTCGAAGAAAAAATTAAGAGATTCATAATTACTAAAATTCGAGCTAAAATTTAAGCATACTTAAAACTATCTTCGTACTACAAAATTGATACATTTTGTTTTTTTTTTTTAAATTAAAAAAAAACAAACAAACTAAAATTTTAAAATTTATTTAAAAACGTGATGAAACACCCCAAATATTAATACTCGCTGTATTTTGAACACTGTTAATGTCACGCCCCTGTAATATACAATTTTTTTGTTCAATTATGATTACTCTATCTCAAGCTGAAGTAATAGCAGTCAAGCTTCTTACACTCTGTACAATTTCAAAATTAATTTAACTACATTTTAAATACAGTTTTAATTTAATAAGTTGCACTCTCACTGGTATTAGAGAACGTAAAATATAAACGAAACAAATTTCCTATGAACAGTAATAAAAAGAAACGCGCTTAAGCAATTTCTTCAATTCCGTGATAAAACAACAATCCCCACAAAGAAAAACATTGACGAATAACTCAAAAATTTTGGGGAAAATTGGAGAAAAATAATACATTACATATTTGAGGTTAAAATCACTGAACGTGTTTCATTTTGTTGATCTACTTGCTCTTAAGTGACCCCAAGATAGTGTAAATAGAAAGCTCCTATTGATGTGACAGTTTATACGCTGAGATCACATTGTAATGTGAAATAGAAAAGAAATAATATATATAGCTAATTGGAGTTTGTCACATATAACTATTTTTCTGTTTCACACGTTCTTTAACAGCTGAACAAACTGGGTCAAATTCTGCTCATAACCTCAAAATTAAGACACTTCCACATACACCAGATACTTAAATTCTACAATATTAAATGCCGCGGCTTAAAGGAAACTGGTAAGTATAATAAGAAAAATAAAATTGCACTTACGAAAACCACTAATGGAACAGAAAAACCGTTAATTATTATCAGTACTTTTGGAAAAAATTATTTTAGAATTTTTACAAGTTACATATATATTTTGCGTCTTTTTAGTTTTGTTTTTTTTTATTTGTCAGAGTTCTTATTTAACCCTGACATTGTTTTCCAGGCTGTTGTAGTAAAATTTCGAGGACACCTTCTATGTGTACGTATTTCAAGAGGTTCGAAAACAATCCTATCATCCGAACATCTCGCTCAAAGCCGCAAATTAAGAGTTTTTCATGCACCGCCGATCAACCGGCACCACGTCTCAGTCATTGACTCATTTAAATTAATTACGTTAAATTTTTAATAATATTTATTAATTTTCGCGGTTTCGTAAACTGTAATAACGAAATAATTGGCACTGGAAGTAATGAGATAGGTGTGTGTGTGTGTATGTGTTCGTAATGAACAGCTTATTTATTTGTGGTAAGGCCGTTCTAAAAATAAATAAAAACGTAATACACTTCGGTGATAGAAGGACGACCAAGGATAGCTTGTGAATTAATCTTAAACCGTACTTTCACACAGAAAAACATGTATTTGAATAATGTAACAGTAACACAACACGTCTCGTTTATTTTCAACTACTCGTTAAATGTAACAGGCTTACATGCTTTATTTTTTAGAATTCCTACAAATTGTAAAAGCAAAACCACTTTTGCAAACATTTTTTTGATATTTATGACGCAAGATTTTATTTTTGCCACTTGATCAAAAATGTTATTCGTCATTGTTGAGAGCTAAACTGTCTATATTAGACTGGTCCAAAAAAATCGACTATTTCTTTTTTTAAAAGATATTTTAAAATATCGTGAGAGTTTGAGCCCTTAATATTAGTTTTAAGAGGTCTATCATCGCTAGTTTCGATTTTATATTCCTGATCCCATTTTTGCGTCGACCTGCCAAACCATCGAGGTAAAAAATTTATCTACATATATTTTTGAAGGAAATTGAATGCCCTACAAAAAAAGTCTGATTGAAAAAATTTTCGGCAGACGAGCCGTTTCAATGTAATCAAGCCTTGAAAATTGATGTTTTTTTCGATTTGACTTTTTAACTTTGGAATTTTGTAAATAACGAACAAATTAATATCTGAAAAAGAACTATACAGATTTTCAAAGGAAATTTAATGCTTTACAGGAAAGGTCTCTTAACATTATTGCATAAATTTACTCCTTCATAAGTTATGCACGATTGAAGTTGAAGTAAAAATTAAATTTTTGTTTTTTTTTCGTTTTGGACCCAATTTTTTTCACTTAATGGAACAAATTGATGTTATACATCATCGACAATTATTGTTCTATCCAATATAATCACCAAAAATATTCAAAATTCATAATATATTCGAAATCATTCTCGCTCAATAGATATTTTTTCTACAAGAACGTAGTTTTTCT